GTGCACAACACAACTCGTCTTTGAGTTTAGTTCAGCCTGTAACGCATTCGTGATGCACGACACAATTCGACTTGGAGCTATGTCGTCAGTGCTTACGTAGTTTACACGGACGCAGCGTCGGCGAGGAACGGCGCATTGTCAAATGAATAGACGACAATATTCTGTTCGTCGCCGCCGTTCTCAATGTAGAGGCGCGAGGTGGCATCCACAAACGCTGGCGGTCCCGCCACGTACAAGTGGCGCGCGGCCACATCGGTCGCGAGCTCGAGCAAAATCTCTTTCGTCAGCGACGTCGTCGTCGCAACCTTCAAGTTGGTCCATGGGCCGTCCGCGCACACATTCTGAAAGTACGGGATTGGCGCGTCCTCAAACACTTGGAGCATGCAAATGTCCCCTTCGTACTGGCTCCGAATCGCGTACAAGCCTTTCGCCATTGCGTAGAGAGGCGCGGCGCCGAGGCCATGGCTCACAAAGAGAAGGCGGTGCGGAATGCTCGTAAACGTGTCAGTCTCGAAATGCACGCCCGTATTGATCCAATAGACGTTGAGGACCGTTTCGATTGGTGCGTCGACGAGCCACCGCGACGCGTCACCATGCGCCTCGACGCAAATGTCGATGCTGTTGGTGTGGCCCGCGTCAAACAAACTCGTGAGCACGTAGCTGCGCCGGACTTCTTCGCCGCTCGGCAATGGCAAGCCCAGAAGAATCGAGTCGCCAGCGTGGTACCGGAGAGGAAAGTCGAGGGCGATCGAGAGCTTCATGACGCCGTGCGCGAGACGCTCTTTGCGCGCAACGTGTCCCGGGAGGCTCGGCTGGAGCGGTCGCCGCGGCGTCTCGATGATCGTCGGCAGCATCAAGTAGTAGAGGAGACAGTACGACGTCAAGTACGCGGTGCGGATCTCGGCCGACCACTCGTTGGCGCTCACTGCCTGCAGCGTCTCGAGGAGCGCAAGACCGACGCCCGTGTAGTGGGCTTTTGTCGCACCATACCGCGCGTGCATGCGTGCAAGGCCGATGCAGACTTCGGCGACGTTGTTGGCTTTGATCACTGTCGCCAGCGTCGCGACGAGCCCCGTGAGGGCTTTGCCTTGGACCGTCATCGACGACCGAAACATCGGGCGAACCCCTGGCGCGGCCTTGAAGAGCGTGGCGTAGAAGGTCGAGGCGAAAAACTTGGTCGGTGTCAAGTGCTTTTCTTTCTGAAAGGCCGCCGTGCCGCGACAGACGACGGCCCAGTGCTTGTGGATGAGGGCTTCGTGCTCCTTTGTGACGAGCGGGCGCTTGATTTCGAGGTCCATCGAGGCCTCGAGCGGTGCGACGTAGCTCTCTTTGAGGCCGAGCGACCCGTGCGCGTCGACGTACAGCATCGAGTTTTCCTCGACCGAGAGACCGCTGCCCATGATGTTGCGACGATGCCAAGTTGGAAATGGAATAAAAGATATTCTTCGAGCAAGGCCGTCGTCGGTTTCGCATACAACGAACAAGTGAAACCATAAGCTTCGAATTTGGCTGCCAGGCACCAGTATGCGCAACTCGGTGGCGCTGTTGCGTGAAAACGCCCTAGTATCGCTGCGGTATACTGTGTGCGTCAGTCGAGTGCACTCGTGTGTTAGTACTGTAGTCCTCGTACATGACAAAGGTGTCGTATCGGTTATCGTGGTTGATGGGGCATGAAGGGTTAAGACGGGCTAGTTACTCGTACAGCGTTTGATTGACGTGGCGGGCGTACGTGGCACAGTCGACAAATGCCGTCGACCGAGCGGCCTGCCACTGCGTCAAGTTGCCCATTTGCCCGACGCGGTCGTAGTGCGCCAGGAGCGCGGGATACGCCTTGAAATCGTTGCGAAACACAGCAGTCCCAAAAATGTCTTCGTAAAAATCGAGAACTAGACAATAGAAATCGCATGTGTTTGCTCCTCCAAGTCGAATGTAGTGAAGTAGACGGTATACCTTCCCACATAGTCACGTCAGCCATCGAGACGTTGGCGCCAAGAAGGTAGTCGCGCCCCGAAAGCAGTTCGTTCCACTTGGCCGGGTACCGAGCAAAATTGAAGTTGGCCTTGACCTCAGTGCCATCCAGGGTAAAAGGATACCGCGTGAGCGGGCGGCGTGCGTCGGCGCAGGCGGCCATTGTCGCATCACATAAATACTGCGCCTTCAAGTCGGCCGGGTACATGTTGTGCTTGTGCGCAAGGTACAGCAGCGTCGCCTGCACTTGGACAAACTTGCAATCGTCCATTTCGACCATGGGCACTTGGCCATACGTGAGCTCGTTGGCATCGCGAAGCGCCGCGAGGTCGGCCTTGGTCTCGAGAAACTGGTTGGTGAAGGGCGCGCCGACCGCCGCTAGCGCCACACGAAGCGGCTCACACATACCTACACCACCATGGCGGATCGTACGAGATGGGTACACAAAGGAGGCAGACGTACCGCGGCCAGCCCAGTAGTGCACAGTGATGGGGTTCGATGTCGCCATGGTGTCGCTGCTTGAAAAGGGCAATGTCGTTTGATGGTGTGTACGGATACGGAATGAGAATCCGGATAACGTTGTTGAAGTTGCAGTTTTGGTCCACGAGAACTGATGTTATCAAGTTAACCCTTCCAGACCTAAAGGCACACGCAATTTGGAGCTGCGGGTGAAAAAACGATGCGGGTATCTACCTTTCCACGGTCTCGGCTCGGCTTCGAGCCGGCTCGAAAAGTGGAGCCGGTGCCGGAGCAAAACCGACGGAACCGTCGGCTCCGCGGCTTGAGCCGGACCGTGGACAACACAGTCACAATATTCAAAGCAACAAAACATCGATGAATTCATAGTCCGCAAGAGCAACCCTACTCTCCCATGGGTATCGATCCTTGCGGCTCAGCACGCGGGCTTGGCGCTTGATCTCGACTGAGTCAAACATGGTCGTCGTCTCGCCGTTGGCACGGAAGTGGATGGTCAACTTGTCATCGTCGGCAATCACACGCGCGTGGCCGTAAAGCGAGCTCGACATGGACTTGGACCACTTGGGAATCGGCTTGATTGCGCCCTGGTAGAGGCTGTGGCTACCCATGCCGACCGTAAAGTACGTCGGGGCACCTTCCGTGATCTTGTTGTTGAACACTGACATGACATCATCGACGCCGTACTGAAAGTAGAGGTCCTCAAACTTGACCTGCAGACTTCAGTGGGGCTGCTTGCGGACGTCGACGAGCTGGCCGCCATCGTTGTTTGAGTTCATATAGTAGTTGCCCTTCCAGCACTCCTCGACCCCGTATAGTCGTCGAGAAAGACAGCATGGGTACTACCAATGTCCTTAGAGTACCACGTGCAAAGGCCCTTGGACGCGTCGAACGAGAGTGGCGTCACGATGCAGTTGCGCCGTGAACATCTCGGCGCCGCATTCAGGGTGGTCCGCTGTCCTGGATCACCTCGTGGTTGCCCGTGATACCGAGAAGCGGCACCTTGGAGAAGAGCGGCTGCGTCTCCTGGAGCCACTTGTCCCAGTCTTCGTGGCAGCCGCTGGCGTACGACCAGTCGCCAGCAAAGATGACCGTATCCGCCTTCGTGCGCTTGAGGTCGCTGGCCATGTTGGCGATGTATCACCAACCACGTCACCGTCGACCGAGAGAAGAGTCTTCTTCGTGGCCGCCGGAATCGACTTGAAAGTACCAGTGAACCCTTCGATCGCGTACGTGTACGAGGCGCCTGGCGTCAAGTTGCAGAGCAACGCCGTGTGGAGGTTGGGCGAGTTATACTTGTACTTGCTGCCTTCGATCTTGTAGGTATGGACGGCCGACGTCGCCGACTTGCCCGTGTTGCCAACGCCGTACTTGACCGTCAACGGCGTCGACGAATCACTGCAAAGGCAACGGACACACCGTCCTTGCAGTCGACAGCCTCGGGCGAGAGACCGACGTGCACCTGCAAGACCTTGGCGGCGCCAACGAAAGCGAGGCCAGTGAGGCCAAGACGAAGCTGCACGGTGAGCAATGTCGAGCAAGTTGAATACAGAGCATCTTCGTCGCGACGGTTTTGGCATCCGTCGTGTGGCCGGGCCCAACATGGACGACCAGTCGAGACAACGAACGAACGCAAGACTCGACCACAGTGGTACCCCGAAATATATGACGAAATGTATGCAAAGCAGCGCGGCCAAGGTACAAGGAAAGAGCTCCGACAGAGACAAATGGTTCTTGTTTTGCCCAACGTATAGCAAGGCCCAAAGAGATGACCGCTTCGGCGTGAAGTTCTTTCAAGTCACAACGCGCCGTTTCCTGTACATTCCACACTAACGTTACCGGTAAATGAATGAGGTCAGACAAACCAAAAGGTTACCACCGTTTTCAGCGCTTTTCATTGGTCACTTCCCATTGATCAAATAAACAAGTTAATGCGCTTTGGAACGTTGGACGCGGACAAAAGGTCACAGATTAGTCAGCTATCGACGAATATCCCTGCCGTGACGACCTTTGACACCAAATTTGCACTGGAATCAGGACGTTTCTGTCGATAAGAACTCAAGTTGTCGGACCCTTGAAAATCTGGTGTCGATGTTATAGGTACACGGTGTCGCTACAGTAGCACCGCCGAGGTAGGTACAGCAGTGTTGCGGCACGTATGGTATGCGAACTGCGTTGATATTTTGCGGTGGTTGTTCAGAATTGGGTTCTGGCTTCGCCGCAGGAAGATGGGATAAATACGCCACAGTTTTCCATAACAAAGCACCCATTTCGAAAATGACCGAGCGCTACACCACCGTCGAGACGCCAAAAGCAGGCGCTCGCAGCGCCAACCCACAAGAGAGCGCTTCGTGGACCTCGACGCTCACCATGTCGTGGATGAACGACCTCATGCAACGAGGCGCGACGACGCCACTCAACGACGACGATACGTGGCCATTGGCTGCGAAAGACTCGGCCAGCGCTCTCCACGACCGCTTTGATTTGCACTGGCGAACCGAGAAGACAATGGAACAACCTCGCTTTCAGCGCGCGCTGTTGTATACCTTCCGTTACCAAATCGCTTGCGACGTCGGCCTCTATTGTGTCTATGCCGGTGCGATGCTCGTCCAACCCGGCTTGATTCGCTCGATTTTGAAGGACCTCGCAACCGACGCCAACGACGATGATGGCTACGCGCTCGCAGCGCTCCTTGCGGTCGTCTCGTTCCTTGCGGTCACTGTCTTTGACTTTGCACAGTACTTGAGCACGCACACGGGCTGCAACGCCAAGTCGCTCGTCATCGACGCGGTGTTTCGCAAGACTCTCACGCTTTCCGGCTTTGCCAAGCAAGACATGTCGACCGGTGACATTGTCACGTTGGCGTCCGTCGACGCGGACCGTATCTACATGGGTTTCATCTTTGGCCATTGGATCCTCATCGCCCCGTTGATGCTCCTCGCCGTGTACGTCATGATTGGAGTCGAACTCGGAGCGCTCGTTGGTCTCGCGGGTGGGGCGACGATGCTGCTCTTCGTTGTCATCGGCACCGACTCGGGGCGCAAGGCCGGTGAGATCCATCGCAACCTCCTTAGCGTTCAAGCGCACCGCGTCAAGCTCACGAATGAAGTGCTCCAAGGCATCCGTGTCGTCAAGCTCAACGCATGGGAAGATCACCTTGAAGTGCAGCTGGAAGCTGTCCGCGACCAAGAGCTCGTGCTTCTCAAAGCGTACCAGGTTCGCTCCACCGCCAACACGGTCGCGCTCTACATCGCGCCCGTCATTTCACTCGCGGTTTGTCTCTTCGTGTACGTTGCGGTGGGCAACGAGCTCACGGCGCCTGTCGCGTTCACCGCGCTCGCCTACGCCAACGTGACGCGGCTCCCATGTACTGTCTTCGCGACGGCGGTCATGTTCACATCTGAAATGGTCGCGTCGTGTGAGCGCCTCGGTGCCTTCTTGACGTCCGACGAAGTCACGACAACTTGTACACAGGATTCAAGTCGGCATTTGTATCTCATCACCGTTATATGACTAGGTACGGCGACGACCCAAGGCGCATCCAGCGTGCAGTTGAGCGACGCAGCGTTCAGCTGGGCAGCGCCGGCCTCGGGCATTGACTCACCACCGCGCACGCTGCGCAATCTCTCGTTCACTTTGGCACCCGGCAGCCTCACGATCGTCGTTGGTCCCGTCGGCAGCGGCAAGTCGAGCCTCATGAGCGCGATTCTTGGCGAGATCCACCAAATGAGTGGCCAGCGCTCTGTCTGT